CGCCCCTCGGGGGGCGCGCGGAGATCCAGCCGCTGCCCCCGCTGCCTCCCGGCGCTGGCGGCGCGCACTCGGGCTGCTGTGCGTCCGCGGCCGCCCCGAGCCTCCTGTTGCTGGACTACGACGGGTCGGTGCTGCCCTTCCTCGGGGGCCTGGGCGGGGGCTACCAGCGGACCCTCGTGCTGCTCACCTGGATCCCGGCGCTGTTCATCGGCTTCAGCCAATTCTCGGACTCCTTCCTCCTGGACCAGCCCAACTTCTGGTGCCGCGGGGCCGGCAAAGGCTCCGAGCTGGCGGGGGCCACCGTGACTGGCCGGTGGGGCGACCTGGGCAACTGGACCACCCCCCCAAGCACCCCCTTCTCCACTGCCGCCTGGGGAGCCACGGGCAGCGGAAGCAACAGCAGCGGCGTGGACGGGGGCGACACGCCGCCCCTCTCATCCCCTCCGGACAAGGGGGACAACGCCTCCAACTGCGACTGCCACGCGTGGGACTACGGCATCCGCACCGGTCTCGTCCAGAACGTGGTCAGCAAGGTGAGGGCAGCGAGCAACCCCGTCCTTCGAGAGCCCTGTTCCCCGCTCTGTCGCCTCCACCCTCCCTCCCGCCCTCTCCTGCAAACGGAGGTTCCAGGCAGAGCCTTGGAGGGACCTGAAGTCCCCGGAGTGGCGCTAGTCTGTATGTACGTGCGTCCCATTCCGCATTGATTCCAACCCCTTCTGTCCCACAGTCAGATGGGTCACTTTGGCTGGAGCCGTGACGCTGCATCCTGCCTCCAAGGGGGCACCTTAGCTGTCCTAATCCACCCTCCAGCGCCTGTCCCAGTGCATTCTGGAAATAGCGCCCCTCCCCCATCCTGCTAGTGTCCCCCACACAGGCTGGACTGGTGCACCCAGAAGGTGAGGCCCTGTCCTGTCACCTGCCGACCCTGGAGGACTCACCTCACTCATGGTCTGCCGGCTGGAGCCAGGATCCTGGCTGTGTCCTCCCGAGCTAGCTGTCCCTACATCTCCCACAAAGAAGTATCCATCCCCGAAAAACAGCGTCCTGTTCTCACATGTTCCTCTTCCTGGCAGACCTCAGCCATCCCACACCGGGTTTGGACAGAGACCAAAGCCCACTAAAGAACAGAAGTTACAGGCAGAGGGCAAAGAGCTTTTAAAAATTCTCTTCCACTCCTGCAAGCCCTCCCAGCCCTCTGGTGATTAGTGCTCTCCAAAGACGCCTGACTTCTGACTTGGCCATCCCAGTGTTCCCACCAGTGTGTGCTCAGGACTTCAGTAAACACGCCAGGGTATAGGAAGGGTGCTGGGACTATTCCAGGGCCACAGCTGTTCTGTACAGCGGCTGCTTCAGCCCGAGGCATTGAGTGCGGGCAAGCTGTCCCCGGGCGTCCACTTTGCCCTCCGAGCCCCGGCCGCTTCCTTTGCAGAGCTCTTGCATCGGTGTGTGCAGCGGGTGTGTTGGTGAGAGATGCGTGTCGGCCTAAAAACAGACAGGCAGTGCTGCAAAACCGCTGCCCTCCGTGTCTGCGGTGTTCCGATTTCCTGCACGTAGGAGAGGTGGCATGCCAACCGGTCAGGTTATTTGTGAACTGATTTTTTGTGTCTTTTGCCCCTTCTGTCATTTTAAATAGTGCAGAGGGAATATCGACTTCCCCGCCCCCGACTCCTGGGCCATTCTGGGCAGTTTTCAGGGCTTTGTCCACATGTGAGAGTGGAATAGGCAGTTTATCACGGTCATGGTCGGTGTGCATGCACCGCCCCTCCCCCAGGCGTGTTGGTAAACAGTCGCAGCTCATGGATGTGTAAGACGAAACTCTTACATCATCGCGACCATTGTTTTAGTCTTGTACCAACCTGGCCAGAAATGCTGAGTCCTGTGGGAACTGGCTGCCGTGGCCGTCCCTGCTGCTCTGCTGGGGAATGGGAGACGCCTTCCAGCGGGGTTCCCCTCGCTTCCTCGCACCCACAGCCTCTCCTTTCCCAGGGTGTCCCTGTGACCGATTCCCATTCATAGGGGGCAGGAATATTTCTTTTTTGCTTAGCAGCATACAGAGATTGAGAACAATGCCTAAGTCGCCATGTGTATCTATCAGACTCAGGATCTGGCACCGTTTTCAAGTATTTTAAGCACCTTTCTGGAGCAGAGAGAGAAGAACGGATCAAAGGAGTATGGAGAGAGTGCTTGGTCCTGGGGTCACAAAAGGAGCAATTTGAAAGTGAGGAGTGTGTTACCTCAGCCGTGGGTACCAGGAAACAGCTACTCCTGCTCTGCCAGGCGTTGTGGGGAAGGAGAGCAAAAATAGTTCTTGAAAACAGACTATGTTGGAAAGCTGGGCAGTTTTTTAAATTAGCACCTAAGAGGGTCCCAGGTGATGTGTGGGTACTCTGGGGTTCTTCGACAAGTGGGGCTGCCTGCAGGGGACGCAGGCCTGGAACGACAGGAGGGGTGCGTTTTCTCACGAAGATGATAAAGGACATATTGATTTCCACGGACAAATGTGGATCTAAATAAAGGACTGTGCTTCCACAGTGTTCTATAACAAATGCTTTAAAGAGCTTTTCAAGCACATTTTGGCACTTTATCCGCTGCTGGCGGTGTGCACGGGACACTGTGTCAGGTGCACAGATGTGGGAAGAATTCTGTGATGGGTGTGGGAGTTCTGGGGGTCAGGCCCTGGCAGCCTTGTTGGCAGATAGAAGCAGAAGAGGAGGAAGGTTTTGCCTCTGTTGCTGGATGAAGTTCAAGGTCAGAGGAGTTGTGCTTGTCCCCTTTTCCCACTCTGAACCGTGCTTTGTCCCTTGCCAGTGAGCCATGGGCAGTGCCCTTATCCCTCAGCACAGATCTGTCGGGGGTGGACAAGATCAACCCTAGGTGTTAGATGGGGATGGGGAGATAGAAGATATGTCAGGTCCAGGACCCGCCCATGGGAGATGTGTCAGGTCCAGGGCCCGCCCTGCTCAGCTGTTGGTAGCACCCACACACCTGAAACCACCAGGCCAGTGGGAAGCCCAGGCTGCCGCGGGGAAAGGCTCTCAGAGCGCCCAGTCCTCTCTCCTCCTGCAGTGCAGCCCTGACACGTTCCCCAGCCCCAGCCCAAGCCCTTCTACTCATGGGAAGGGAGCGCTCCACCCCGGGCAGCCCATGCCATCCCTGATTGTGCTTCCTTGCAGAAAGTCATGTGTTTTTGTGAAGAAGACTCAGATTCTCTCGAGCCTATTGGTGCAGCTCATGCCCCAGAGTGATTGTTTTTTTCCTCATAGAATGTGTTTTTAATAATTTCTTTCCTGACTGAAAAATGCCCAACTTCAGCCACTCGGTACATGGCAAAATCAGCCACGCCGATTGAGTCTCTTAAGCACAGCTTCGAAACACAACCCAGCAGGCCCTGGAGTTCTACCCTATAGAGGGGACAGATGCTCGGATACCTGGCCTCCCCTAACAGAACCTACAGATGATGCCAGAGGGTGTTTTGTAGATGTGCCATACTCCTGGCAAGGTCCCCAAACCCACCGCATCCTTTCCGTGGGGTCGCCTGAAGGAGAGATTTCTCTGCCTAGGCACATGTAGCACTGACTTGGGTTTCATCTTCATTGTTTTGGGGAGTAAGTCTCTCCTGTTGGAATCTTTGTAATTTTCATTTTTTCCCCCTTGGACTTTGAGTTTTGTTATCTGTACCAGAATTTGCATGAGAAAACCTACAATACCTTCAAAGTAAATAATACTAACAATACCCCCTGTCTTCTGGGCAGCCTTTTACAGCTTTTGAAACATTTTATCATGAATCATTTCCTTTGATTAAGAGTAATTACCCAACGTCAGTCTTAACACAGGGCTGTATCACGGGTTATGAACCAGTGAACACGTGTTTGAATAGGCCAGGTGTTCAGCACAGCGGCCAGACATGCAGGTTGCCACCCCTGGGCAAGGGTGTCACCCTTGCCTCCTGAGCAGAGTCAGGCCCCTTGCCTCCGTCTCTAGAAAGCGGGTTTTGTGGGTCTGAGGACAGGTGGGTCCGGCCTCCTCACCACTTGGTTGCTTTCTTCCACTCAGCCTCAGGTCCCTGTTCTCAGATACTTCTGAGAGTTTTGCTTTTAAAAAGTTTAAAAATAACACCATGGGTTTAAATATGTTGTTTTTCATCATGTGCGTGGTTTATTCCATGTGGTTCAGAGTAAGTCCTAGTTGGTTTCTGACGCTTTCTTTTTCTTGAGTAATCTCTAGGATTTTGCCAGTAATTGATGCCAGCTCAGCTGCCCAAGGCCCATTTTGTTTGTACATTGGAAGTTTAGATTGTTTGTCCATCTGCGATCTTCTGGTTTTTCTGCTATCTTCATGAGGTTGCAGAGATTTCTGACCTTTATCCTGAAAGTTGCTTAATATGCTGGGAAGTAATTTGTATCCTTTTTCTAGCAGTTATTTAAAGTGACTTCAGTACAGTTTAATTAAGACTAAAAATAATTACTATCATTGCAATAGTAATATTTTTAAAAATAGCCCATAATTCTATTACCCTAGCCTAATAACTAGTTTTTGCTTTGGAAATGCTGTACACATGCACATATTTTTATATTTTTAATTAAAGTGTTCATGGAATCTGCCATGAAGCTATACCACATTAAAAGCATTTGTCCACATTCTCTGAAATATTTTCAGTGTTTGATAGTCTTGTGGATTTACTAAAATTTCTTGCAGTCTTTTCCTAATACTGGCCTCACTGCCCTTCAATTGCTTTGTCTGGCATATGTAACGCAACAGTGGACATCTTTTTTTTTTTTTTTTTTTGGTACCGGAAATTGAACTGACAACCTTGCACTTGCTAGGCAGGTGCAGTGCTGCTGAGCTACATCCCCAGCCCAACAGTGGACATCTTTATGTGGGACATCTTTTTAAAAAAATTTATGGACATCTTTTTTAAAAAATTTCTCAGAGCAGATAATGTGTGCATGGTTCAGAACACACACAGTAAAGGAACATTGCTCACCGCCTCTGCCTTCACTCCCCTTTTCAGAAGCAACTGTGGCTACCAGTTTCTTAGGTGTACTTTCCAAAATATTTTATTTACCTTTATGTGTTTTCTTTTTATAAACAGTAGCATACCGTATACATTATTCTTTGCTTTTTTCACTGATGACAGAGAGGGATGCATGTCAATATATGGAGAATGCAAAAAAAAAAGAGAGAGAATGCCTCATCCTTTTTTATGTCTGTGTAGTATTCCAGAGTCTGGGCCATAATTTATTTAGCTAGCCATCTACTAAGGAGACAGTGTGGTTGTTTCTAGTCTTTGCTGCTATATAGTCTATGCTAATATATAATCTATATGTTTATATGTAATATGTGTGCATATATATATATAAATACATATATTTATTTACATATAGTGTAATGAAATCCTGGCATGAATGAACATTTGCAGATGTGCAAGGTCTTAGAAGTGGAGGAGGATCAACATGGTCTGCACTTTTATTCTGATAGATGTCGTGCAAGTGTTCTCTATAGCAGCTTAGCTTTTTAGCAGTTTACACTTTCA